AGAGGCTGCTGAGGTCCCAGCCTGGCCCCAGATCAACAAGCCTGATGGGGGTCAAAGCAAAGCCTCCTCTGTTCAGCTCAGAGTTATCTCCAGCAGTAAGGGCCTACCTGCTGCTGCCTGAGAGACCTGCTGGAGCCAGCAGCAGCAAGCAGCACTCAGCTCACCCCTTAAGAGAAGCTGGATGGTTATGGTTTCAGATGCAGAGGTTCTCAGACTAAAGGGATGCTTTACTGGCTTCAATAGGTAGCTGATTAGAAACCAGACCTCAACCCACCCATATTTCCCACTATGATTATCAGGTGAATTTCTGCCTCTGGTCAAACTAAGGCTGATAGAAATCTCCATAATGAAAAGCTAACAGAGACGAGACAGAAAGGTAGGTAGAGTTTTCAGAGTGCAACTCATAAATAAACATTCCTTTTCTAAAGATAAAATGCTTTGCGAAATACATACCTAAGTACTCAACTACTCAAGAAATCAACTGGCAAGAGGCCATGAAGTTGGTACATATTTCTTCATCTAATTGAAACCCCTCTCTTCATTCCCAGTCCCGCCCATATGGAGCGATTTCAGTGCCAACAGAAATTGTATTTGAATTCCATCATTTTTTATTTGTATTAGGATATTGATTTAGAATTTCCTATTTTTTCATTTGTAATGCACAAATTGAATCATTGAATTTGTAAATTGAACTTGCATTTCAGGATTTGGAACTGGATTGAAAATGGCATTCATTTTAAAATTATATTTTATATTCAATTAAATATTTATATTGGCCTATTCAGTTTCAATACTGTAGATATTTCATTCATTGTCTGTGTATCAAGTTTACAAACTATCATTTCAAGTTCATATATTCAACTTCTCAGATGCATTCAGATTCAGTTTTCAAATTCAGTTCTCTAAATTCAGATTCAAAACCTGAGACAACATCCTGATATTTTGCCAGCCAGGAAAAGGAGAGGAGAATAGATAGAATCAAACGCTCACTGTGGTAAACAGAAACTTATGGCGGTTTCTGAAGCCAATGTGGCATGTTGAATTTATTTTCTTATAATGAATTTGGCTCTAGCATTAGAACCATTTTGGCTATGAGCTATTATGACCCCATTCCTGAAAGCTAAGACTCTGGAGCCTTCTATTCCCCTCTATGATGATTACAGGCTGCGTTAGAAGGCAGTGTCACAAAAAACTAAATTTGGCCCCCATAAGAATATAGTTTAAATGCCCTGTCACAGCCCTTCTAATGATAGCCTTTCCACTCCCTATTTAATGTTGCTCTTGTGACTGACTGGGTTCGAACCAGGTCTCCTGCATGTCACAAGACACTGTTAGCCCACTTTGCTAAAGCCTATAGGGAGAAGTTCAGGAAGTTCATGTAAAGGACGACCCGCTGCTTGCTTAACGAGTAACGCTTCCCCCTGATTCAGCTCATACCGAGACTCGAACTCAGGATCTCTGCCTCATAAACACACGTGATCCACCATCCTTAAGCATTCTAATCCACCGCGCTACTGAAAAAGGCCTTCTTCAATTGCGCAAGGAGTGACACTTCAGGCTGATGAGTGAGTTTCACAGATCCCCATCTGTTACATTCCCCCCCTTAACTCACTCCACAGTGACCCCAGTGGTTGAACCAGCTCAACTGTAGATCTGAGTCCAGTGGCACCATTGTAAAGGACGTCATGCCCGAAATGCCAGACTGGCTGGTCCATTTTTAGCCCAGTGGCCGTCGAAATTGTTTTTTTTTGCGTGCAAAATTATAATTATCTGGCTAATAATGGGGGCCTCAAGGAAATAATGGGCCAGTATGGTGGCCTGGAGAAAAATAATGGGTCGGTGTGGGGGCCTCAAGGTAAAGAATGGTCCGGTGTGTTAGAAATGCCAGGGCTGATTTTTGGTCCCAGTCCTCCGCTGGTTTGAAGTCTCTGGCATGGGTAGTCATTATAAGGTTAACATGTGACTGGCTGGGTTAAGAATGTGTTAGCCTGTTGAGCTAAAGCCTAGATATTGGTCCTGTGACTTGGATGGGTCTCTTCAAGGAGGAGGTCAAAGGGGGGTGAAGTGTAACACAGGTGGTTCGGTGACCACGCTCGTGTGATGAGTAACTTGTCTAAGACCTGAAAAGTTGCATTGTCTGGTGCACAGGACACCTGGGTTAGAACCCCATCAGTCAAACTAATGTCTTCATGTCTCAGCCAAGGTTGCTCATCACATAGCCTTGTGAGCAACCTGATCCCACGAGCTTACATGAATGTTTCGCTTCACATGGTAATCAGTCTGGTAATTACGAGGCTACTCATCACATGGATGGATCACCAAACCACTTCTGTACTCTTATTAAATGGGGGGGAAATCTGTCTGCTTCTGTTTGCCACAGAAAGTGTTGTTGTTGTGCAGGAGGCCTGATTTCGAACCCAGTCAGTTATATTGGTGCCGTGATCTCTGAGTATGAGGTCAAAGGTCCCGTGTAGCTCAGTTGGTAGAGCATGGCGTTTGCAACGCCAGGGTTGTGGGTTCGATTCCCACGGGGGGCCAGTATGAAAAAATTTATGCACTCACTAACTGTAAGTCGCTCTGGATAAGAGTGTCTGCTAAATGACTAAAATGTAAAATGTAAAGAGGGGTGAAATGTAACCGAGGTGGTTTGATGAACCTTGCTGGAGACTTGAAGACTTGTATTAGCTTCCAGAACGAATCCCTATGGGCTAACACAGTCTTGTGACATGCAGGAGACATACAATATTTCAATTTATGAAGTTCAATTTATGAATTCAATGACTCAATTTGTGCATTAAACATTCAAAAATATTAAATTCAAATTCAATATCCTACTACAAATTATAAAATTCAAATACAATTTCTGTTGCCACTGAAATCGCTCCATACACCCACACCTCCATGACTCACTACCCTCTCACCCATCAGCACTAGCAGAGGAAAGGGTTTCACTGGAGCAAGACAGCAGGGAGGGTTTTCTTCACCTCTCAATGTATATGTATATTACTTCTTCAACACAAAAATTGCAATATGGATACAGAAACACAACATCAAATGAGCATTCATCAACTTCTCCTATTGCATTTTCATATAACCTGGTTGGTTTCGAACCAACTTTAGAATAGGACAGCATTACAACTTTTGCTTTGAGAAGGTTAGAACACAATTGGAGAACAAGTGTCAATGTGGAATTTTACTTCCACTATCATCATTATGTTCAAAATGTTAGAGGGTATTCCATACAACGTTAAATAGAAAACCTGGCAATTTCTGGGACAGTTTGGCCTTTTACAAACATCATGCTCATTCGATAAGTCTTTCTAAGGTCATTGATGTCATTGCTGTTGACATATTGGACTATCCCAGGAGGATATGATTCTACCAAGGGATAGTCTACTCACTGTTTAAAAAAGTGTTGTTTTTTTAACATGAAAAACACCAGTCAGAAGTTACTTTTAGTTCTTGCAACCAGCAATATCATCAACTTAGCCAAGTGTCTCATGATCAAAATAAACATTTTCAAAACATTCGATTTGAAGAGTAATGAGAGTCTAATTACCTTACAGTATCTTTATAAATGATACATTATGCATACAATCAATCTTTTTTTTTACTCTCAAAAGTATTAGCTGGCAGCTTTGCGAACGGAGTTCAGTTTTTCTAAAGTAATTAGCAATTAAAGTGACTACTTAACAAATACAAGTAAAGCTAAATCTATATGTCTGATCATTTAATAATATAACATTCACCAATATCCAGTTAGAGATGTTGGCAGCAAGCTTAGCTTAAAAACGTTTTTAGTTGTCTGCTGCTGTTAGCGTGCAAGCTTGAATTCTACATTGTCTTCTGTCATGCTGCTGAAGTCGGTATTATGCAGTTCCTCGCGCTAGTTATAAACCAAGCTATTTTTCAGGACGTAGCCTAAATAATGGTTCATTACCTGTATGTATTTCCTGGAAAACCTTTATAGTACATTTTCCATCCTGAGTCATTCACCTGTCCAGCTCCAGCAGCACGGTGAAGCCTGCCCAAAGTGATTTGATAGTAAGCACCAGGCGGTTGCACAAATTCTCTGGGCAGATTTCAGTGTGCGAGCAAATTCCCACCCATCTCTGTCCCTATTGGTTGACATACTTTTCAATCAAGCCTAGAGGAGAACGTGTTATAGGCATAGCATCCGTTTGGAGGCAGGTCTTCTAGAATTTCTATGCGCCAATTGGATAAAAATATATTTTTTAAGATAACGCCCACCTGTTAGTGAGTGGCTGTATCTGGCAATGCTGGCTTCAATCAATAAAACGGACGTATTGAAAGCCAGATTAAAGATGGAACTCTTAATGAAAGCAATAACAAAGCAGTTACCGCGCCTGTTTTAGTAAAAAGCTGAGGGATGGTCCAGGAGAAATGTAACCACTCTCAACTTCAAAGCGAGAGCTAGGTATGCAAGGACTGACCATCCATTATATCACAATTATAGTTTGAATCATGTTTTGAGGCTATACACTTGCCCCCCTTCCCCAATTCATGTGTAAATATTGTACTATAAGTTATGTATTATACTTGTACTAAAATGTTTCTTCTATTCTACTGCCATTTACTTTATGTTGCATTGTCGAGAAGGAACCTTAAAGTATGGATTTAGTTGGACGGTGTATGTATACCATGCGTATTCTGTACATACGACTACTAAAACGTAACTATACAGTATTAGTTTACATGTGCTTTGTTTACAAATATTGGAGCATAACAAGCTCATATTTTGGGTTCTGATGGGGTACGACAGTTGAACTAAGCTCATGAGGCGTGTATAAGTTATATTCTTCAAGGATAGATGGGTATATATCATTAATGTATGAGTCCAAAAATGGATGTAGAAACTACAGATTCTAGCTTTAAAGGGGGTTTAGTCATATATTCACAAAATAGATAAAATGTGTAATGTGATTAGTCTGGTAATTCAAGATCATGCAAGATCATAAAACTAAATGTAAAACACAAACGTTTTATTTCCCCCCTTCCTTCCCTTTGACATACTGTACCTTCCTCATAAATAAAGCTATATAGTAATAGATTTATACAAAAGCAACACCCAAAGATGGTCTTCTCAATCATTACCCTTCTTTACAAAAAAACATTGGGTCATGTAACAAAAACACACACAGGGACGAAGGGGTGACTGCTTGTATTCAGTATGAACATTGTCCATGGACTGCATAGGAGCCACTGACCTGCTGGCCATTTGGGTCACAAAAGACCAAAGGGGGCATTATTTACAGTCAATAGAGTGACCCTGCCAAGCCATTGGCTGGCTGCATACACTTTCTACAGGTGTAAACATTGGGCAAAACACAGCATCATTGTTTCATGTCACGCCAAGGATAAAGCAGTCGTCTGTTGCTGTGCCTGTGGTGGTGTGGTCATTGCAGTGCAGGGACAGGGAAGGAGCGTGAGTCAGTGTTGGGGATGGTGGTGATGGTGAGGCTCAAGGTCTAGTCAGGGTCAGGGTGACTTTTGCGGTGGTGAGCGGTCAGGTTGTAACTCTTCTCAAAGCGCCGGCCGCAGACCTCACAGGGGAACTGGTAACTGCTCTCAGCGTTGTGCTTCTTCATGTGCCAGTTGAGAGAGGCCTTCTGGCGGCAGGTGAAGCCACACACCTCACACCTGGTAGAGAGGGAGAGAGGACGAGGGATGAACACTCATAAGGATCACTACAGATGTACAGAAAGAGTGTTATATAATATATACAGGATCCATAGTAGAAGTCCTAATAATAGTGTTACTACTCTCGACAAACAGTATGCCAGAGAATACTCACTGTATAGGTTTCTCTCCGGTGTGGATGCGGCGGTGGATGAGAAGGTGGCTGTTGGTGCGGAACGCCCGGGCACAGAACTCACAGATGAAGTCCCTCTGGTCTCAATACACAAAAGCCAGAACGAGTGATTACATACAGTACCAGGTTCAGAGCATATGTGGTTGCTCTGTACTTTATATCAAACAGTTAGGGCCCTGAGTTCTTCCTGACTATACGACTGAAGAAACACAAGTCCCTACAAATAGCTACTCAGACAATCATTATTTCAGCATGATGAGCAGAAGCAAAGGATGATAATGAAGAATCCTAGAAGTGAAATGTTACGCCTCACTGCTGTGCAGTTTCTCATGCTCTTTCAGGTGCTTCTTGAAGTTGAAGGACTTCCCACAGGGAGTGTGAGAGCAGGTGAACGTCCTCTGGTGGAAGTGCTGGTACTTCATATGATGCTTCATTAAGGGTGAGATAAGATATAATGGAGTTTTGTGTATTTTACCTTAATAAGTAGATTGTAAGAGGTCATCTTCAGCTATACTGGTGAACTCACATTGAGGTACTGCCGAGAGGAGAAGATCTTCCCACAGCCGTCAAACTCACAAGGCAAGATTGCTTTGGGTGTTGTTTTTCTGGGAACATTAAATTAGGATGAACAGTAAACAGTAAACAGATGGAAATATACAAGTGAGAAATACATAAATTAGTAATAAACAGTAATCTAGACAATAACTTTTATGTGATAATGCACAAACCTTTTCTTTTTGCTGACAATCTGAGAAACATTGTCGGCTGGCTCCGGTCTATAAAATCCAAATCAAATGAAAGAAAATGTATTACATTTATTGCACAGTATGTGGTAATAGGAATCCTTTTAACCATGTTCGCTTTCATGACTTTCATCTCAATAATCTTTTACTTGAATATCCATTTAATCGTTTTAATCATATAATTCAATCTGGCAAATTAAGGAAGTGTGAGAAAATACTATCAAAAGCCACCCGTTGCTATCAAAAGCCACCTCTCCTTGTCCCCGACTTACTGTATCTCTCTCTGGCTGTGTTTACACTGGCAGCCCTATTCTGATCTTTTTTCCACTAATTGGCCTTTTGACCAATCACAAAGATCTTTTCAAATCTGATCAGAGCTGATCTGATTGGTCAAAAGATCAATTAGTGAAAAAAAGATCAGAATTGGGCTGCCTGTGTAAACGCAGCCTCTCTGCCTCTGACTGAACTGCTTTACTCTGTGTCCCCCTTCAGGTTCTCGTGTGCTACAATTACATCACTATGAAGTTCAATAAAGTGGTCATTAATTTTTCCAACATGTTCATTCACATTTTATTTCCTTCTTAGATGATTAAACTGTGCAATTAAAACCTGCCGGGTGAAGGGTCATCCTTCTCTCCAGTGATGTTGTCGGGGTTGTGCTCTTTATCATCATCATGATCATCACATTCCATAGGCAGCCGCCTATGAAAATATCAAATTAGATCACCATGAGGTTGGGTTGATTATGATTTCAACAACAAATTCATCCAAGGAGTTGTGCATGAAGCAAACTATTCAACTTTACCAATCCTCCAATGACTGCAAGGACTCTGCTGGCAATGTGTTACTTCCTGCCACTGACACTTCCTGTGTATTCTCATTTTCTGGATGTGACCAAACAACATAGTGATGTTGAGTCAACACTGGCATTTCAGAACTAATCAGGAAATTCAAAATAATATTTCTTAATGAACCTCTTGAGTTGCTCTCTCCAGAGGTTATGGTTGTCAGGTCCATCATCTCCTCTCCTGGCTGCTGTGCCTCCTCTTGGGTCACCACAGACCTTGCTCCACCACGACCCCTAGTCCTCCTCACAGTAAGATGACCCATCCCTGTGACACTCTCCTTCTTGGGCTCCATAGCTCCTCTCCTCCCTTTGGACCTAGTTGGACCTGCAGGGGTAATATCCCCCTCCACAGTCTCTCCTTCCCTCTCTCCTGCCCCCTTCTCGTCATCACAGCCATTCTGACTAGGTTGCCATGAAAGCAGATGCCCTCCCTCACAAACATAGCGCAGACACAGTTCTGCCTCTAACACATCCGAGGGTTCTCTCATTTCCTTCCCCTGAGCACATGGGGAGAGGCCCTCCTCTGGAGAGCTACAGTCCTTCACACCTGTCTGAGGTGGTAAATGCATTGGGCCTGTTCTCTGCTTCACTGTCTCTCCCTTTGACTGTCTCTCCTCTGTGTCAGCTGCCTGCTTCTCTCTGGCAGTGTCAGACTGGAGAGTGGGTGGGAAGGGGCACTGTTGCCCGTGAGTGTGGACCAATAGGACAAAGCGATGCAGAGATTCTCTTGATGTCACCAAGACAGCCTTGTCCCCCTTCATACTGTCTAGTGGACCAAGACCAAACACATGTTTACATCATCATACAAAAAACACAGGCTTTGGACATACATATTCACATTAATGAAACTGAAAACTGTATGTCATGGGAAAATGTCTTTACCTGAGCATTTGGCACACACTTTAGAAAAATAGCTGAAGAGAAGAGAGGGGGAATACATTTAGCAAACTGAATAATAGCCAACATCATATTACTCCAATGTTATAGTTGTGTAATAAAGATGAGCCATGACGACTGTATGCTGTTTGTTACCAGTGCCACCACCAGCCCATTCTCGTCTGAGGCCTTACCTCTGCAGTAGGTAGTTGGCGAGCTCAGAGTGCAGAGAGAATCCCAGGTGGTTCTTCAGCTGACCCCAGCTCTGCAGGCATGACCCCAGACGCACACGAGACTTACTCCGCCGAGCGTCCAGCTCCCTGCGCCGCTGCCGTCTGACGGTGTCTGGAGTAGACTCCGACACCATGGTCAAAGGGTCATTAACCTGCTCCATCACCCCTGGCATGAACAACAAGAAAGATGGCAGTTTTACGAAATATCTCGATGTTAACTTCACGCTGGCCACTATAATAATGATTGTCAAAATATGACAGCTGAAATTATTTCCCCCATTCTTTGACACCTGACAGAAGAGCTGTTCAGAATCAGAGGGTAAACTGAAATGTGTGAAACACTCACGACTACATTCATGTGATAATGTATTTTTGAAGATTACTGTGTAAATGTATGTTTCATTTTATTATACATTTGCTAATTCTAAAAGAGGGGTCCACCTCACCTCGTTATGTTTAGTTGACTCAGTCTTGTACATTCTAAGGGGTCCCACCCGCCATGATTCAGTTGCCCTTTTAAGATCTAAGACGCAAACCCTGGTAGTAGATTCCAATCGACTACTGTCTGTACGATTGTGGAGTGATGTTGCCGCTAAAAGACTAAACTATAAGAAATCACACTGCCTTTCATTCATCACTCTACTCAAAGCTCGATCAATAATGACAACTGAATCGGGAGAAATATCAACAGGAACAGAGGAAGTGGGAGGTGGCTACTTTTTCTTCCCATGAACCACCACGGCACATTTGTTACATTATAACCAGAGAGGAAAAGGCGAAGCGAGAGGGATAACTGGGCCAAAATCTGTCTTCTCCAGAGGTGGCTTTTTTTCGCTCACCAAGCGAGGGGGTTTTGTATGGAGGTCAATGAGAGAATGTCGAATTTAGTTAACAAAACATTGAATGGCTTATTTGCTACGTGTGGCTTATTTGATCGAATAGAAGTTTCGCAACGACTAGGTTATTACGAGTGTACTGATATAAGTAGGACCCGTGATATCCCGGAAACTTTGAGAAAAAAACGCTGCCGTGGGCCCCACCCATGTCCCAAAGCACTCACAGGCGGCCCAGTCCTCGCGCAGCAGTCCCTCCCAGCTGCAGTCAGAGCAGGAGATGTTCACACCTCCGCGTCCAGACTGCACATGAATCGCGCATGCGGGAAGCATGCAACAACAACAACAAAAAATAATATAAAAAAATTAAATAAAAAAGAAGTAACTCCGCCAGAGTGTCTCTTTTGGGTCACTTTTGCCCGTCCCAAACCCGGATTAAGGAGGAGGGTTGGAATTGTGACATAAAAAAAACAAGAATCGACAGAAAAAAGTTCATTTGTAATTCTAAACATATTTAGGGTGTTTTTTACTCACTTTTTGTCTCTCCCACAACGTTATTCCTCTCTCCTATAGCGTCCATCACAATTACATGCACATGGCCAATTATGCAAATTGGGTGATGACGTCATTCAGCGACTTCTAGCGACTTTTAGGACAGCCAATAGCTACTTTCCTTACTGAGGAGTTGGCAACACTGGAGGTGCATCTGCGACAGCCGAAAGTCGGACACTGATGTGGTTTTCCAAGAGTAAGGCTCAGTGCAACATTGCAGTTTTGCCATTGTTTGTAAAAGTTTTTCTTTATAGTCGAAATAAACATGTTTCCAACCCAGTGGCGGCTCCTGAAAAAATTCTCAGGGGGGGCAATTTTTCTGATGATTTAGGTGACCTACACACATTTTTAAAAAGATATGTCCAGCAACAACATGAAGACAGGGGCAGCATATAAGTCAATACCAGAAGCATTTATTGACTGATCTCAAAAGTGTTGGCTTACAAAATCAAAATAAGTTATCACAGTAAAAATAATCAAGGGTGTTCTTTCACATTCCTCAACACTGCATAAACAATATGCATTTCCATAAACAAATGAAATATCAGCTGAAAATACAGCATCTTGGTATTTGTTCAGATTGCAGGATCAACAAGAGCTTTTACCACATTTTTTGCCTCATGGTTGAATTGGAAATATGTGCACCTGAGCATAATTCACAACAAGCAAGCAGGAGCTTTTGATAGAGGCTACTGAAAACATTGATGCAAGTTATTGGTAATAAGACATTTTATAGACTTCCATATTCTGCCCTCTTGTATAGATTTGTGAAAATGAACAGTGATAGACATTTTGCCTGAAAACAGAATTTGAAAGTAATTTCTAGAAAAGGTAAACACAGCTATCTGTATGGCTTTGTAAAAATGAACAACCATATTCTGGCCAATTGTATAGATTTGTAAATATGAACAACCATATTCTGGCCAATTGTATAGATTTGTAAAAATGAACATGAACAGATTATTTTTTTTTTAAACTTTTTTTAAAATGAAAAATAACTATTTTAAACAACATCAACTGTGAACTGATTTGGGCGTGTGTGTGTTAAAGAGACAGACAGGGAGGGACAAAGAGAGAGAGAGGCTACATTACTTGTACTGAAACTGTTCTCTTCTCTGTTTCAATACAGCAAAGCGTTCAATGACTTTCTCATTGAAATCAGGCATGCTGAGGACTAGTTCCCTCTCCATGGAAAGCATGGCCAGTGCATTCAGACGTTCCTGGCCCATTGAATTTCGCAGGAATGTCTTAACTCGTGTCAAAGTTGAGAAACATCTCTCAGCTTCAGCTGTTGTCATGGGAGTAGTTATGAGGATGTTCAACAGAGTCACAGTCTCAGAGAACGTCTCCTGGAGGTTGTAGCTCATGAGAACCTGGTACAGTGCCAGTGCACCACAGCAACCCTTGAATTCAGGATTCTCATAGATCAGAGATAGTTCTGTCTTGAGCTTTGCCTTGCTCATCATGGGGTATGCATTCACAGTGGCATTCAGAGCCTCATCAGGAAATGAATGGCAGTACCTTTCAAACATGTCTGCTTGCAGTAAGGTAGCACTCACAAGGTGGCCAGAGAAAGAGAACCTTTCTTTGGTGTGATCCAGGATGGTGTTGCAGACCTCTTCAGACAGCCCTTCTCCTCTTCTCTCAAAGCTGTTCTGGGTCTTTTGGCTCCTGTTGCTTCTTGCAGCTGCTGTTGAGAGGAGTCCCTGAAGGCAAACAGACCAATGTGTTTGTTGGCTTTGTACAGTATTGTTGTCTATGTGATGCACAGGTATATGCAATGTATCCATGTATAGTACAAATACTTCAGTTCCACTTAAAATGGGCAGGGATGCATAAAGTCTTTAGTGTTTAAGTTAGCCTTTGTGTCTCACATAGCCTGGATGTTCAGCACAGTATACAGTGGTGCTCATAAGCTTATGATCCCATGCTAAAGTTGACTAAAAATAGGAATAAAAAAGAAAAGAAAATTGGTGTCCTTAAAGGTTGGATTTTCCAACTTTTTTAATTAAGTCATTAAGATCAATTTCCAAAAGATGATTTTTTTTATTTTTGTATTCCTCTTTTTAGTCAACTTTAGAATGTGTTCATACACTTATGAGCACCACTGTACAGTACACATAGTATATAAAATAAGCTAGATTACACCACTGGCCATATATAATGAGAATAATGTAATTTCAAACACAAATGCAGTCTCCTTTCATGCATACATTTTCAAATAAAGCTCTGCTTTGAGAAAGATCGAATGATATTGTTTAATCTTACCTTATGGCCTGCACACTGCTTGTGAAGCTGTCGAGGGCACGTTTGATAAAGACAGCATCGATGTCCTTCTTCTGTAGCTTCTGGTACAGAATGTCGACGTGGGGCATGATTTTGTGAAAAAGCCGCAGGAAAAAAATAAAATCTTCATCATGTAGCATCCTCACGTAGCCAGATGCCTCTCTCACGGTGGGCTGGTCAAATGAACCCAATGAACCCGTCCGAATGGCTTCAAAATATTCTATGAGGTCGTCTCGATTCTCGTAGACAGTGTTCATGACTCTGCTTAGTAGAAACCTGTTGAATTATTAAATTTGGTCTGGGAGGTCCTAATTGTTTCGTTGCCAATTTATCTTGATTTGTTCGCCGACAAAAAGGAACTTCTTTCAAAGAGACAATCGAGTTGCACTGAAGGCTAGCCATTTTGACAGTAGTAGTGAATTGATTGATGAGGCTACCCGCTCTTTTCTTAGTTACGTTCATGGTTATGTTACGTATGACGAAAGCGCGTAAGTGCAAGCCCTCAGAAACCCATAGAGATTGTATTGAAAGCTCTGATATTTGAAAAAAATTGATTTTACATTAGAGGCTATGAGAGACTTCTGGGCGATTTTCAACCTGACTGAAATCGCCCCAAAACGGGCGGGGACATTTGAAGCACGACTTTAGCCTGATTGGACATTTAGTGGCAGATCAGACGTCTAGATTAGAACACTGATAACTACTGTTGCCGTGATATAATTGATTAGAAAAAAAATCCCTTCCTTTTCCCGTTTGGCAGTGCGTCGCCCATATCGCCCTAATGAACACACCGCCCCTGTTCCAACCCCCATATCACACACTCACAAACTGAAAATATATGTGTGTACATTGTACAATCAATTGGTGAGAGAGCCTGAAGTATCACATTCACACATTTTTACATTTCGCACTGCTTTGCTTTATCTTAGCCAGGTTGCAGTTGTGAATGAGAACTTGTTCTCATTCACAACTGGCATACCTGGTTAAATAAAGGTGAAATAAAATTAAAATAAACATGAATTGCGTGAATTACGGCAAAGTTGGTTTCTGTTTTAGTCATGTCTTTGGTCACGTCTTTGGTTGTGTGGGTCAAACAAAAACACCCTAATGATTGGTTGACAATAGTCTCCCACAATGCAGTCTCCCACAATATAAACACTAAAAGGAACAAAGTGTGTGTCCGTGTGTGTGCGTGTGTGTGTGTGTGTCATGCTTACTTATGCTGTCTTTGTCCATGCATTTGTTACAAACCACAAGCATGTGACTGTGCTCTTTGCAGACGGGTGTGTTGCACAAAAATGAACCCCAAAAGGTTCTTCAAAAGGTTATTTGAGGATCCATTAAAAGGGGTTCTTCGAAGAACTAAAGGATACTCCAGGAACCTTTTCTTTTTAGAGAGTAGGATACAGTTTATTTTCATCTTCTGTAAAACACAAATTGCTAGAATAATACCTCTAATTTGCTCCAGGGGCAGCGTTCTACTATGGTTGACCATGTAAAACAACACATTTCACTGAACGTATCCGGTGTAAGTGAAAAATAATAAATAAAAGTTTTTTTGGGGAGATCTCAGTCGGGGTCTCAATGTTGAGAGTTAGAATAGTAGAATACGGACAGTTTTTTGGCCAGTTATCTAAACTTGTTATCATGGCCGAATTACCTTTTGGGATGTGGGTACGCAGACCCACGAGCAATTGCAGCCCCTCATGATGAGTTCAGATTTTCTGTGGCACCTACCCCCATCAAAGTTGCCGATCCCTGATATAACTGGATATGAAACGCATTATGCTGTCATAATAAAGTAATGATGCTCACAAAATGAACTCATTATGTCATCACACAATTACACTGTAATAATGCCATTATATTGGGATGTCATGATGTCAAAAATGTTTGGCATTATGTAATAAATATGCAATAATCTATGTTGTCATAAATATGTCTACGGAAAAACCTTCCCATTATGTTATCATATTGAACTATTATGAAGTGGAACAATCTATTCACCTATGTTACACCATTATTAAGCACAACTATCTTAAAGTTAAATAAACTTTGAATCTTTCCCTATTCCATTTTCAGATAAGGGGGACTGCTCTCTCACCTTTCATATTGATAGTTGACCATTTAACCCATATATCATCAGCATTTAGAAGATAGCGGTTGATAAAACATTTATGTACATACAACCTGTGCTTTGTAAAACTACTCACCAGATCATAAATTGACATTTTATTAAGAACATGAGTAGAAATATCTTAGATGGTATCCAGTGTCTTCAGGAAGGTAGCAGTGCACTCAGAGAAATTCAAGTTAACAAAAAAAACTGACAACAGGAAATGACCTGATTAAAGGGATAATTCAAGATTTTGGCAATGAGGCCCTTTATCTATTTCCCCAGAGTCAGATGAACTTGTGGACACCATTGCCAAGTATCCTTTTAAGATGTGGGCCAATTAACTGGCAGTAAACTAACACACACACACATACACACACACACACACACACACACACACACACAGACAGACACAGACACCGACACACACACACAGTCTTGCGCAGTTAACCTTGTGGGGACGTACAATTCAGTCCCATTCAAAATCCTATTTTCCTTAACCCCTAACCCCAAACCTAATCCTAACCCTAGCTCCTAACCCTAACCCTAATCCTAACCCTATCTCCTAACCCTAACCCTAAACCTATTTCTAACCTTAACCCTAAACCCCCTAAAAATAGCATTTGACCTTGTGGGGACCAACAAAATGTCCCCAGTTGGTCAAATATGTCTTGGTTTACTATTCTTGTGGGGACTTCTGGTCCCCACAAGTATAGTTAAACACGTCCACACACACACACACACACACACACACACACACACACACACACACACACACACACACACACACACACACACACACACACACACACACACACACACTCACACACGTAGGCTCATTCACACAGTGCACAAGTATATTGAGCAAGCATGGATGAGCTGGGTGAGTATTCTTTCCTCTGCTGCTGTTTTAAATATTAAATATAAAACAAAATACAATAGATAAAACTATGAGGGAATACACATTGATAGGTTTGAGCACAAATAAGATGCAAAAGTTATGAAGTTGCTCAGGAGGTTTACATGAAAAATGTTGTGGTGTGTGGTGAATGAAGCTTGCCTTGCATTACATTGGGCACGCTGATCATATCATGTGTCTTATCATATCTATTTAAATTGTATTCTTGTTAATATGATTGTCAATGTAAATTCACAGTGAATCACAGAAGGTTCTCTCCGTTAAGAGACAGATGGATTCTTGATGTTGTTGACGGAAGTCACTGATATAATTCCGTTCCACTACCAACCACATTTTGAGAATTATTAATAGAAGTGTTTGTTTTTAGTTATTTTTTATGGATTTGCGCTCCACCAGTGTAGTTATGATTTACTTATGAAGAACTTATGATAAAATGTATTTTAAAATTAACACAAGTACTTAGTAGTTATATGTAACGTTCACTTTCATACTGTCAGTCATAGAGGGTTGCATCAGTGTCAGAAGTTTCACTTCTGGTGTGAGGATCTTGTCTGTAACTATAGCATATCTTCTACCACTTCCTCAGGAAGCAGCACTGTATGCAGCAACCACAGCAGATCAATTGGTGCACCTTGCAATATGCAAGAGGTGACTGTAATGAGGCACTGTAACTTACCTCAGTGGAAATCTGTTAGAAATGCCTTTTCTGAATTATAGTACCTACAGTACCATATCATATAAACTCAGCAAAAAAAGAAACTCTCACTGTCAACTGCGTTTATTTTCAGCAAACTTAACATGTGTAAATATTTGTATGAACATAACAAGATTCAACAACTGAGACATAAACGGAAAAAGTTCCACAGACATGTGACTAACAGAAATGGAATAATGTGTCCCTGAACAACGGGGGGTCAAAATCAAAAGTAACAGTCAGTATCTGGTAATGCAGTGCATCTCCTCCTCATGGACTGCACCATATTTGCCAGTTCTTGCTGTGAGATGTTACCCCACTCTTCCACCAAGGCACCTGCAAGTTCCCAGACATTTCTGGGAGGAATGGCCCTAGCCCTCACCCTCCGATCCAACAGGTCCCAGACGTGCTCAATGGGATCGAGATCCGGGCTCTTCGCTGGCCATGGCTGAACACTGACATTCCTGTATTGCAGGAAATCATGCACAGAACGAGCAGTATGGCATTGTCATGCTGGAGGGTCATGTCAGGATGAGCCTGCAGGAAGGGTACCACATGAGGGAGGAGGATGTCTTCCCTGTAACGCCCAGCATTGAGATTACCTGCAATGACAACAAGCTCAGTCCGATGATGCTGTGACACACTGCCCCAGACCATGACGGACCCTCCACCTCGATCCCACTCCAGAGTACAAGCCTTGGTGTAACGCTCATTCCTTCGACGATAAACGCGAATCCGACCATCACCCCTGGTGAGACAAAATCGCGACTCGTCAGTGAAGAGTACTTTTTGCCAGTCCTGTCTGGTCTAGCGACGGTGGGTTTGTGCCCATAGGCGACGTTGTTGCCGGTGATGTCTGGTGAGGACCTGCCTTACAACAGGCCTACAAGCCCTCAGTCCAGCCTCTCAGCCTATTGCGGACAGTCTGAGCACTGATGGAGGGATTGTGTGTTCCTGGTGTAACTCCGGCAGTTGTTGTTGCCATCCTGTACCTGTCCCGCAGGTGTGATGTTCGGATGTACCGATCCTGTGCAGGTGTTGTTACACGTGATCTGCCACTGCGAGGACGATCAGCTGTCCGTCCTGTCTCCCTGTAGCGCTATCTTAGGCGTTTCACAGGACGGACATTGCAATTTATTGCCCTGGCCACACCTGCAGTCCTCATGCCTCCTTGCAGCATGCCTAAGGCACGTTCACGCAGATGAGCAGGGACCCTGGGCATCTTTCTTTTTGTGTTTTTCAGAGTCAGTAGAAAGGCCTCTTTAGTGTCCTAAGTTTTCATAACTGTGACCTTAATTGCCTACCGTCTGTAAGCTGTTAGTGTCTTAACGACCGTTCCACCGGTGCATGTTCATTAATTGTTTATGGTTCATTGAACAAGCATGGGAAACAGTGTTTAAACCCTTTACAATGAAGATCTGTGAAGTTATTTGGATTTTCACAAATTATCTTTGAAAGACAGGGTCCTGAAAAAGGGATGTTTCTTTTTTTGCTGAGTTTATATGTATGTGTGTGTGTTACAGACCTTATCCTAGAGGAGTTGGCTTTCAAGTCAGCTGGTCCAGAGTCGGCTCCTCAGAAGAAAGAAAGTGATACAGCCAACACACATGGACAGGTAATGACAAAATCCCCTCTGGCAGTTGTTGTTTAATCTTTTGTCCAATTACTACAACTGGATGTATTTTCTAGCCGGATGTGTTAAGTGGAATTTCCTGCAGGTCCCAAAGGTGTGTCCTGTTGGTCTCCCTCCAAGGAAAGGAAAGGAGCCAGATAGCACCAATGATACAGATAGCACCAATGTATACAGGTCAGCAACTGGTATAGCCCATAGATAGCCAAACGTTATGACCCTGGGTGAGACCATACAGATAGAGCTGAGACTCAGATTCATCATCACCACAGATTTAAGTAACTGTCCAGTGTCCACTGTATACCAGTGCTCATCTGTGGTTTGCTCTGTGTGTTTGTCAGTGAGTTACCAGCTCCAGTGGAGGCCAGTCTGCTGAGCCCTCGCTCTGCTTCCAGAGAGCTGGACTCCATAATGGATGAATTGCTGCTTGACCTGGTGATGGGGGTGAGGAAACATCTATCAGTGAATAAATACACTGTTGGTCAGAGCATGAAAAGAGGACGACTGTGCCTTTTAGTGAAGTTGACTTGATCTGACAGCAGAGGGCAGTATAAGCAAGCTAAACAAATATTGGAAGCTACTACTAGTGCCACCAACATTATTTTTATGTATATGAATGGATGCAAGTCTGTTTTGTGGACACATTGATTTTTCTCATCTTTAGCTGCCAGACCCTTCCCCTCCCTCAACCCCACCACCACTTGTCCAGAAGTCAGTCAAAAAGAAACAGGTTGGAGAAAAGAAAGAAATGGATGACACACAAGTGAAAGAGGAGAGCACAAACAGCCCAAAGACTTCTGATCTGGAGCACAAGGTGTCAACACAGAGAAAAACGGACACCATAGATTTCCTTCTGGGAGGCCTGAGCTCTGATATGGAGAAGATGGGTGTACGCACCACGGCCAAGGGCCACTGTGCTTCTTGTGGAAAAGTCATTGTGGGAAAGGTAAACAGTTTGAGCTGACAAAAAACGGACAAAATCCTGCTTTCAAAATAGGCTAAGATGATCAATTGCCAGTATATAAAACAAGCCACTGGGCACACACTGGTTGAATCAACGTTGTTTCCTCGCCATTTCATTGAAATTATGTTGAACCAACGTGGAATAGATGTTGAATTGATGTCTGTGCCAAGTGGGAATATAGTATCACCTTTTCTTTCTATCATTCTGCAGATGATCACAGCCCTAGGCCAGGTGTGGCACCCAGAACACTTTGCTTGTGTGGTGTGTCAGGCGGAGCTAGGCACCAGTGGCTTCTTCGAGAGGGAGGGGAAGGCCTACTGTGAGAAAGACTACCAGCATCTCTTTTCACCCCGCTGTGGTTACTGCAAGGGCCCTATTCTGCAGGTACAACACCTTCTCTTTGGATTGGACTGTATCACCATTATCTAACGCTGCATCTGTTAAGCTGTTGTTGGGTTTACCTCACCGCATGCTGGGCTCTTTGACCTCTCTCTCAGAACATCCTGACAGCGATGGACTGCACCTGGCACCCTGAGCACTTCTTCTGTTCCCACTGTGGGGAGCTCTTTGGGCCTGAGGGTGAGAGAGCACACATCTATCTACCTGACATATAGCACCACAACCACTACTGTTCCCTACAGAGTAACATAAGTTATAGACCACAGTGTGACTGAGAACACTCTCCTCTCTTTGTGTGTGTGTCCTTTGCTGTGCCATAGGTTTTCTGGAGAAGGACGGGAAGCCGTACTGCCACAGAGACTTTTACCATCTCTTTGCTCCAAAGTGCTCTGGCTGCGGAGAGCCTGTGAGAGAGAACTACCTGACTGCAGCCAACGGCACCTGGCATCCCAACTGCTTTGTCTGCTCAGTGAGTCTCTCACCACAGATCACACACATGGCTTCGGCTTAGAAACTTCTACCATTACTCAAACAATACGCTTTGAACAGCCAACAGTCACAATACGTCATTGTCCTGACATTACCCATTTACCATAATCCTCCTCAATCTCCAAAAAAAGAGTAGGCCTACTATATCAACTAGATAGAATAAGTGTTCTCTCTCTCTTTCTCCTTCTCTCTATCGCTCTCTAACCAGGACTGTCTGAAGCCCTTCACCGATGGTTGTTTCCTGGAGCTGGATGGTCGTCCCCTGTGCTCTCTACACTTCCACTCCCGCCAGGGTACACTGTGTGGGGGCTGTAGAGAGCCCATCTCTGGGCGCTGCATCTCGGCTATGGAGCGCAAGTTCCACCCTGAGCACTTTGTGTGTGCTTTCTGTCTGAGGAAACTCAGTCAGGGAGTGTTCAAGGAGCAGGCAGGGAAACCCTACTGCTCAGCCTGCCACACCAAACTGTTTGTGTGAGACTTATACTGTAATAATAATACGCGGTTAATACATAAGGTAATCAATTAACCTGAATTAAAGTCCTACTTACAAAGTATGTGGAAAATCCCACACAAATCATCAAGGCAATATCTGCATAGGAATCTAAAAATAAACTATTAATTTAATCAGTTGGTAGAGCATGGCGTTTGCAACGCCAGGGTTGTGGGTTCGATTCCCACGGGGAGTATAAAAAATTATGTATGCACTAACTGTAAGTCGCTCTGGATAAGAGCGTCTGCTAAATGACTAAAATGTAAAAATGCGGGGGGGGGGGGGGGGGGGGGGGGGGGTCTTGGAGGGCTGGTGGCCTGGCGGTTGGGAGCTTGTGAGCTTGGGCCGGTGGCTGATGGATCGCTGGTTCGGGTCCCCGTTTTTGACCTTGGGGAGATCTGTCGACGTGCCCTTGAGCAGGGCGTTGAACCTGGTTGCTTCTGTGTGTCGCTCTGGATGGGAGTCTGTTAGATGACTAATGTGATATAGTTGTTGAGCGGCTTCACTGCAAGTATATTGTATGTTTTAAATATTCAATAAATAAATAAATAAAAATAATAATAATCTCTTTGTGTTCTGTGCTGTTTTGCATGTGGATATACACTGTGTACAACACATTAGGAACACCTGCTCTTTCCATGACATAGACTGACCAGGTGAATCTAGGTCAAAGCTATGATCCCTTATTGATGTCACTTGTTAAATCCACTTAAATCAGTGTAGATGAAGGGGAGGAGACAGGCCCCTAGAGTCGATTGACGCACATAACTGTCACGAACGTCAGGGTAAGGAGTAGACCAAGGCGCAGCGTGAGAAACAAACATCACTTTAATTAGTTAAAGTTTCTAAACAAAACAAAACTCGACTCGTGAAGTCCACGGTGACAATGACCGAACACGGAACAAAAACCCACAAACCCAAAGTGAAACACAGTTAAATATGGCTCCCAATCAGAGACAACCAGCAAACAGCTGACACTCGTTGCCTCTGATTGGGAGTCACACAGTCAAACATAGAAAATGACGAACTAGAACACATAGAATGAACACACCCTGGCTCAACATAATGAGTCCCAGAGCCAGGGTGTGACAATAACGTAACATAACAACAAGCTCTCAAGTCCTGTGTAGCTCAGTTGGAAGAGCATGGCGCTTGCAACGCCAGGGTTGTGGGTTCGATTCCCACGGGGGGCCAGTATGAAAATGTATGCACTCACTAACTGTAAGTCGCTCTGCTAAATGACTAAAATGTAAAATAATACAACAATTGTTCAGTTTAAACTAGAGATATATTTTACATTGGATGCGTCTCAATCCACCACATCCGCCAATGTCGCACTTCCACATCTGCGGTGAAAGGTGGCAGAGCTAGAGCGGTGTTTGTCTGAAGTCAGTACTGTCGATGTGACAACTTCTGTTTGTAGCATCCAAACCATTTGCGCTACAAACTAATGTGAAAGGGGAGTTTCTCACGAACTTGATGGTGTTGTCCGTTTTGCTCTATGACCCCCACAAGTGTCACGGGACTCGTCTGCAGGTAACCAGTACTGGTTTTAAAAAATGAATGGAAGTACAGTATGAAGGTAGTTTTGTGCCTACCCAAAAAAGGGGTTAAATATGTGTAAAAAATTAAATAATAATACAAAAATAAAATAATAATATATATATATATATTTCCTGAGCTTTCTTATATCTCCTAGATATAGGACAAACACTTCAAAACCTTGTTTCTTATTATTATTCCTTGACTGTCTTTTTTGCCATTTATGAATGTGTTATTCATGCGTTTCTCTGGACTATAGTAGTAGGGCCAAATTCAATATTTTGTTTTCATAACTAAAGGGGTCCTAAAATTCTAAATCAAATAGCTGAATGATCCTTAGTATGACCATCTTAAAACAATTCCATATGTCAGCTTAGAACTACCCCCCCTCCCCCAACGGCTTAGACTTTTATTAAAGAAGGATTTTCAAGCCTTGAGTCAATTGAGACATGGGTTGTGTATATGTACCATTCAAAGGGTGAATGGGCAAGACAAAATATTTAAGTTCCTTTGAACGGGGTATGATAGTAGGTGCCAGGCACCTGTGTGTCAAGAACTGCAACGCTGCTGGGTTTTTCATTCTCAACAGTTTCCCATGTGTATCAAGAATGGTCCACCACCCAAAGGACATTCCGCCAACTTGACACAACTGTGGGAAGCATTGGAGTCAACATGGGCCAGCATCCCTGTGGAACGCTTTCGACACCTTGTAGAATCCATGCCCTGACGAATTGGAATGTTCTGAGAGCAAAAGGGGGTGCAACTCAAAATAAGGAAGGTGTTCCTAATGTTTGGTACACTCAGTGTATAACCACGTATTCGTGGCAATGAACAGAAGTGTGGGAACAGAGTGAGATAAATGGTTTAGAATAAGCTTACCAAGGAAAATAGTTACCATCTGAATACCTCATTGACATCTAGTAACATAACAGACAACCTAATAGAGTAGATCATGAAAATACCATGAAACATGAAATTAAATTATACATTTGTGAACTTTGGATCAATTTATCATTTTGAATTAATGTTAAGACGGAGAAAGAATAACAGCAATCAACCAAATCCAGTTGAGTTTTTCCTGGAGGAGGAAAAACTCCATAGGTTTCATAAAGATGTCCTCAGTGCCATGGGTTGGCAGACGGGTGATCGATGCTAGCAGAGCCGAGGCTGCTTTTCCCACTGTAGTTTATCAAGAGACTTCTCTATGGCTCTGACAGCTTAAATTGGCATATTCTCTCTGGTAACAAGTTACATATCTAGACCCTGGATTGAACACTTATCCTGGCATATGGCAGGTTTAGAAGAATTATCCACACTGACCCTTCTATTGCAGTCCATGAGAGATTGATGAAGGTGATGAAACTAATAGCGAAGGTTCCAGGAGAAGCTTTAACAACAGCAGTGAGAACGTGCATACCACTTAACTCAAGCTCCACAGCCAGGGTGTAATATGGTATAATACTGGGGCCCTACAAAGGAGGGACTTCTCTGCTGAAGTATAGGACTACTGGCTGTGTGCAGGCAGTGTGTGACTGGACATTGAGGAGGGGATAAATCATGTTGTCATCAGCACATTAGATGGAAAGTCTCCTGGTCTACAACCCTGGATTAATGTGGGCTGCTGTCACAACATACTACTGTGCCTGGCCAAGCCCTCTGCTCGGTTTGCTACTGTACCTCTCTCTCACGAATGCTAAGCCTTGATTAACACACCGTTTCCTGTATAAAAGCTTTTAATAGCTGTAAACTTATTGGTCAGCTTAAATTTAGATTTCAGTGAAATACCTCTGACATACACGCTGACACTAATCCTGGCTGTGGTGTCAGGTCTTTTTGACCAGACAGCAATGAAGACAGTCTCAAACAACATTAAAACAGAAAATGAATTAAGATATAGGCGAAACAGGCCAAAAATACACAAGAACATTTCATACTTGAAGGGGCGTGATTCAACTGAGAGAGAAAGTGGGGAGGAAAAGGTTCTTGGGGCATAATAAACCTAGCAAACATGAAATGTGAGCGGTGGCTCTTATAAAAGGCGGTGAATAAAGGTCTGTCTGGGGGTGCTGGGGGGAGTGTAACTCAGGTGACATTTACTGCTGTGTAACGAGGTAACAGAGACCCGTGGAGTGCACTGGGGCATGGATACTGAGATGGGCTGGGGGCTGTGGGGAGAAGGAGGGCAATAGGGAGAGTTACCCCAGTGTGACACTGAAACCCTACCCTCACCTCAAACTGCCCGTGGCCCCTGTGTCACCCCACTGGGGGTAGGGGGGTACCCAGACAGGCACAGTCCCACTGTGGATCACAACCAGGTGAGGGTGGCCCTCTACCTTGTAAACCTTGAGTTGACATGCACCCTCAATCAACATTTCAGCTAATAACTGTCTAAACACTTCAGTTAATCAGCTCGACAGCCAGCAGACCCCTACTATGGCCATGTATGTATTAACACATGTAGATGACAGTTCAGCTCTGTTTATTAAACCCCCTAAGGTCGATGTCCGTGCCCCCTGCAGAAATCTAATGAGCTTAATAAAATAATCCCCATAAAAATCTGTCAGTTTAAACTAGAGATATCCGTTTTTTGCATTGGATTACTATCAATCCACCGCATCCACCTATGTCGCACTTCTGCATCTGAGGTGAAAGGTGACAGAGCTAGTGCGGTGTTTGTCAGACCATGAGACATCCCGAAAATCGTTATTCTCACAAAATCGTCTGTAGCAACCGAACGGTTTGGCCTAAAAACTATTATGACCCCTCTATGGAAAGACGAGACTCTCACGAATACGATGGTGTTCTCCCCCACAAGCGTCTTGGGACTCGTCTGAAGTCGGTACAGCCGATCTGCCAACTTCTGTCTGTAGTGTCCGAACAGTTTGCTGTAGGACGCCCAGAGGCCTCACAAGACTCGTCTGAAGCTCCCCCGGTACCAGTTGAAAAAATGAATAGAAGTATATATGGAGACTATTTAGTACCAAAAATAAGGGGTTAAATACATGTAAAAAAAAGTACAAATGTTTCCTGATCTTTCTTATATCTCTCAGATATAGGACCGACACTTCAGAATATACTTGGGACTATCTGTTGTTCCATGTAGTGAATCTGTTATTCAATGTGTTTGAATGGGCTAATAGCAGTAAGGCCAAATAAAATGTTTAATTAAATATTTTTGATACTTCAAGGGGTCTTAAAATTCTAAATCAAATAGCAAAATGATGACCTTCTTTAAACAATTCCATTTTGCTTAGTACAGGGCTTAGACTGCCAAAGGGGTTAAATACATCAAATCAAATCAAATCAAATTTTATTGGTCACATGCGCCGAATACAACAGGTGCAGACATTACAGTGAAATGCTTACTTACAGCCCTTAACCAACAGTGCATTTATTTTTAACTAAAAAAGTAAAAATAAAACAACAACAAAAAAAGTGTTGAGAAAAAAATGAGCAGAAGTAAAATAAAATAACAGTAGGGAGGCTATATATACAGGGGGGTACCGTTGCAGAGTCAATGTGCGGGGGCACCGGCTAGTTGAGGTAGTTGAGGTAATATGTACATGTGGGTAGAGTTAAAGTGACTATGCATAAATAATTAACAGAGTAGCAGCAG